TAGCCTACCCTGGTGTAGTCTACACTGTTATAGCCTACCCTGGTGTAGTCTACACTGTTATAGCCTACCCTGGTGTAGTCTACACTGTTATAGCCTACCCTGGTGTAGTCTACACTGTTATAGCCTACCCTGGTGTAGTCTACACTGTTATAGCCTACCCTGGTGTAGTCTACACTGTTCTAGCCTACCCTGGTGTAGTCTACACTGTTCTAGCCTACCCTGGTGTAGTCTACATTGTTATAGTCTACCCTGGTGTAGTCTACTCTGTTATAGCCTACCATGGTGTAGTCTACACTGTTATAGCCTACCCTGGTGTAGTCTACATTGTTCTAGCCTACCCTGGTGTAGTCTACACTGTTATAGTCTACCCTGGTGTAGTCTACACTGTTCTAGCCTACACTGGTGTAGTCTACTCTGTTATAGTCTACCCTGTTCTAGCCTACCCTGGTGTGGTCTACTCTGTTATAGTCTACCCTGTTCTACCCTGTTCTATCCTACCCTGTTCTACCCTACCCCTTATAGTCTACCCTGTTCTAGCCTACCCTGTTAAAGTCTACCCTGTTCTATTCTGCCTTGTTATAGTCTACCCCATTCTTCCCTGCCTTGTTATAGTCTACCCCGTTCTACCCTGCCTTGTTATAGTCTACCCTGTTCTACCCTGCCCTGTTATAGTCTACCCTGTTCTACCCTGCCCTGTTATAGTCTACCCCGTTCTACCCTACCTTGTTATAGTCTACCCCATTCTTCCCTGCTTTGTTATAGTCTACCCGGTTCTTCCCTGCTCTGTTATAGTATACCCTGTTCTACCCTTCTCTGTTATAGTTTACCCCATTCTACCCTGCCCTGTTATAGTCTACCCTGTTTTACCCTGTTATAGTCTCCCCTGGTGAAGTCTTTTGTTCTACCCTGCCCTGTTATAGTCTACCCCGTTCTGCCCTGCCCTGTTAAAGTCTGCCCCATTCTACCCTGCCCTGTTATAGTCTACCCCATTCTGCCCTGCCCTGTTATAGTCTACCCTGTTAAAGTCTTCCCCTTTCTACCCTGCCCTGTTATAGTCTACCCTGTTCTCGCCTGCCCTGTTATAGTCTACCCTGTTCTACCCTTCTCTGTTATAGTTTACCCCATTCTACCCTGCCCTGTTATAGTCTACCCCGTTCTACCCTGCCCTGTTATAGTCTACCCCATTCTGCCCTGCCCTGTTAAAGTCTACCCCATTCTACCCTGCCCTGTTATAGTCTACCCTGTTATAGTCTACCCTGTTTTACCCTGTTATAGTCTACCCTGGTGAAGTCTTTTGTTCTACCCTGCCCTGTTATAGTCTACCCTGTTATAGTCTACCCTGTTCTACCCTGTTATAGTCTACCCTGGTAAAGTCCGTTGTTCTACCCTGCCCTGTTATAGTCTACCCCGTTCTACCCTGCCCTTTTATAGTCTACCCCGTTCTACCCTGCCTTGTTACAGTCTACCCCGTTCTACCCTGCCCTGTTATAGTCTACCCCGTTCTACCCTGCTTTGTTA